AAACATGGTAAGTTCTAGCGAAATGAAACAACAAGTATAGTGTAAATAAGTTGTAAAAATAATATCCTAGAAAGGAACCACAACCAGATGTTCATGAAACCTGAGAAAAATAATACAAGAAACTATACAGTGACAGTACAACAAAGTGGGTTTCTAGCTAAATGAAACAAAAAGTATTGTGTAAATAAGTTGTAAAAATAATATCCTAGAAAGGAACAACAACCAGATGTTTATGAAACCTACGAGTTCAGATAGTTAGTGGCAAACTTTGAGTTCAGGTAGTTACCAGTAAGTAAGCTATGAGTCCAGATAGTTACCAGTAAGTAAACTATGAGTCCAGATAGTTACCAGTAAGTAAGCTGTGAGCCCAGATAGTTACCAGTAAGTAAGCTATGAGTCCAGATAGTTACCAGTAAGTAAGCTATGAGTCCAGATAGTTACCAGTAAGTAAACTATGAGTCCAGATAGTTACCAGTAAGTAAGATGCGAGTCCAAATAGGTACTGGTAAGTAAACTATGAGTCCAGATAGTTACCAGTAAGTAAACTATGAGTCCAGATAGTTACCAGTAAGTAATCTATGAGTCCAGATAGTTACCAGTAAGTAAGCTGAGAGTCCAAATAGGTACTGGTAAGTAAACTATGAGTCCAAATAGGTAACAGTAACTAAACTATGAGTCCAGATAGTTACCAGTAAGTAAGCTATGAGTCCAGGTAGTTACCAATAACCTATTGTTAGATAATTACCAGTAAGTAAACTATGAGTCCAGATAGTTACCAGTAAGTAAACTATGAGTCCAGATAGTTACCAATAAGTAATCTATGAGTCCAGATAGTTACCAGTAAGTAATCTATGAGTCCAGATAGTTACCAGTAAGTAAGCTGAGAGTCCAAATATGTATCAGTAAGTAAACTATGAGTCCAGATAGTTACCAGAAAGTAATCTGTGAGTCGAGATAGTTACCAGTAAGTAATCTGTGAGTCCAGATAGTTACCAGTAAGTAAGCTATGAGTCCAGGTAGTTATCAATAACCTATTGTTGAGATAGTTACCAGTAAGTAAGCTGAGAGTCCAAATAGGTAACAGTAAGTAAACTACGAATCCAGATAGTTACCAGTAAGTAAGCTGAGAGTCCAGATAGTTACCAGTAAGTAAACTATGAGTCCAAATAGTTATCAGTAATTAAGCTGCGAGTCCAAATATATAAAAGTAAGTAAACTATGAGTCCAGATAGTTACCAGTAAGTAATATATGAGTCCAAATAGGTAATAGTAAGTAAACTATGAGTCCAGATAAATACCAGTAAGTAAGCTGTGAGTCCAGATAGTTACTGGTAAGTAAACTATGAGTCCAAATAGTTATCAGTAATTAAGCTGCGAGTCCAAATATATAAAAGTAAGTAAACTATGAGTCCAGATAAATACCAGTAAGT